ACACTGTGAAAAAAAAAAACGTTAGAAGCGTTCGAAATGTGGTGGTACAGGCGAATGATAAGGATACCGTGGATAGAGAAGGTTATAAATGAAGAGGTATTAGAAAGAATAGGAGAATAGAGACCACTCTGGAAGTCAATAAGAAATAGGCGACATGGATTGGCAAGACACGTTCCCAGGCAGAAAGGACTACTTAGAAACATATTATAAGCAGAACCAGGAGTTAAAAGGAGTAGATTAGATTACTGTTTGCAGATAGTTAAGGATAAGAAATACTAAGTTTAGTTTAAGATAGGAACGAGTGGAGGTACGTGTTCAACAAGTCTCAGAACTGACGACCTTATGTTAACGATGATGATTATTATTTGTATGCTATATAAAAAAATAAGCGATCCTTAAAATTTGTCTGTCTGTCCTGACTAATCTTCAAGATGATTGAACTGATTTCCGAAACTTTATTACAGACTCGAAGATAAGATTATCAGGACTGATTTAGGCTACTCTTTCAATTGTTTATTGGCTATAAGGTAACAATTGTATTTAGTATAAATAATTACAATTAACATATGTTGCACATACGTTTGAATAGATATCAAATTCAACGAAAATTAATTTTAATTTTCGGTAGGCCTTAGGGGTATTTTTTCGAACAAATTATATCTTTAATTAAACGAATAATCTCAAAACAAACTCCTTGTACGGGACAGGGTGTGGATATTATGGTAATGACGATAATACGTTTTAATAACGTAAAAATTTGTGTAGGACGTGTTTTTCAAGAAATGGTTTTTTTTTTTTTAAACGACGGAAGGAAAGTCGTTTAGTCCCCTAAAATATTTCAGAGAGGGATCGCCACATAAAGGCATTGCTCGTAAATAACAAGGAGGAAGCGGGCCGCCAGGGTGATGCATTCTTACAGGGTGGCTTCCTCGGTTTTTAGCGCACTAATTTGAACAATACCCGATAGTGGAAAAGTCCCGCAGGACAACCGGAAGGATTCAGGAAAGGCGCGCAGAAATGCTTTATAGTACGAACAGGCGCTAAACGAAATTATATCTTTTTCAGCTAAATGCAATGCCCCGTATAAATTTCATTCTGTAACACGCCCTCATACTTGTGCACATGACTTACATGATTTTGAAGAAAAACTTACATTTACGGTTGGTTCTTTTAGGGGCTGCTCACCACACGTAACATAATCTTTATTGTAATAAGTTTAGGCTTGAATTTAGAAAAGAATTCACTTTTAAGTAAACAATTACAATCTTTTATTAACATCAAAATATGGAGCCGCTAAATAAGGGAAATCCAATTATGGGATGCTATCTACATCGTCTATAAAAATATTTTCGTTCCAATTTTCTACAAATTCAGAGCTGCCAACATTTCAGTTCTAAAATGTTTAGGTAACGCAAACCTTTACCCCTTTTCCCCACGTATCAGGACTCCTAATCATTGTGATTGATGCTAGTCTCTCATGGTAAAGTTATTTTTAAATGGTTCTGAGTAGGTACCTAACAGTTTTGTTTCATGAAATGATTGAATACCACATGAGACCAATGTAGTATACCACCTGATGATGTTTTGGCATTAGTGTCTCTATACTAGAGTTCAAGTTTAACTGAAGTTTGATTTGTTTAACTGATTTTAAGTAAAGTTTGATTTCGTGTTTTGAAACCAACAGATAAATCTTGATTTATAAAAAAAAATATCCAAAATCCTAAAATCTTAATTGTCAACCATTTGCTATATTTTTACGTAGCAGATTTTATGGTTTGGCATCGTTTGGAAATGAAGGAAGAGCACGAAAGATGCTATTTTGAAAGCCATTCGGATTAATGATGTGGATCCCTAATCATTTGTAATCAATTTAAAGCAAGTTTTATAGTCTTTGACAGTTCGATCCAGTTGGGCACTGAGCTAAGATCGAGATGATTACCCCTACGTACATACAAATAGCTCAATTGGACACCGAAAAGTACTCAAGTGGTCGACTCCGAAATAGAAGGACATAGTTTGTGGTGCCTTTTTCTACCGTAACCTTATAATCCTAAGTAATAAAAAAAAAGCATTCTAAGGTTAATACATTAATTGTCCATGTTCATTACTTTTGACTATATAACTTGTTTCCTTAAATAACGGTTAATGCAGTTGAAATAATAACAGCAATTAAACTGTGCCTCCTGCAGTGTCGGCCTGTTACTCACGGTGCCCAACTGAAAGGCAAGCTTAAAAGGACCTCTGGTAGTGTGGGATATTTGCCAGGTAAAAGTGCCCAATCGAATAACATCGCTAGGGGGTTGGTTATTTAATTTTGGTAAAAATAACTTTTCATCAGAAGATTAAGATTTTCACGGACAGCGTCATCTGTATAATATTCGATATTGGGGAATTAGTCCTTCATCCTTCGGCGAGAATATCGATGAGTCGTCTAACCGATGCAATACGTCGCCTAATAATACAGTTGTGATTGGTGTGTTGCTGTTCTGATTCGGGTCTAAAGACCGCTGTTGGCTGTAATTGCTCCCTAACCTTTCGCTAGCACTTCTTCAGAGGTCCTTCCATTACTGAAGCTGGACGTGGAAATCCATCGAAGATGGAAGGACTTCTGAAGAAGCTCGCCACTCGTGCTAGCGAAACGTTATGAAGCAACTCCAAGCGACGACGACCTTTAGACTCATATCAGAACAGCATCAGTTTCCCTACTGGTTAAGACCCACACCTACAATTGTAAGCAAAAACCTCAGATAAATGATTCCATGGGTGTTTTCATCAGGAGGTCAATCAAAGAAGAAGAAAGGGCACATAAAGTCAGTGAGGAAAAGGATAGATAGGATAGTAAAACATATTTGGAGACATGAAGAGCTGGTTTTAGAAACATAGAAGCAGAAGCAGGATACAGAGGGAAAACCGAGATTAGATGACTGTTCACAAATATACAGTTGAGGATGTAGGATTATTTTATTGTCTTAGTTTTCGGGAAATGCGAAGAGGCTAATTATACGAAGAAGTGGAAGTGGGTGTGCCTGTGACAATGACTTGATTTTATTTGACGTTGTGTATAATTGCCATAAAGTCTTAATTTACCACTTGGTGTAATTTTTCTTTTGAGGAAAGTAGGTTTCTAATAAAAATAAGTTACTTCTAATCGATATCTATTCGGTTGCTTCTAAAAATAAAATGTGTATCTATTAAAATGTACGTGTGCATACGAAATGTAGAAATGTTGGAGAGTGTTGCTGTAATAAGTAAGGGTGGGTTGTTTATGAATTCCTACTTTTATTCGTGAGGGGGTGCCTATATTGGGCTGAGAATAAGATTATGACGAGGCGGGAATACGGAAGCATAAAAATAGAAAAACAAGGGATTCATCAAGAGGCAGCGATATTTAATGAAGTCAAAACGAAGAAAATTTGCACACTCGTGCAGTTTATTTGATGAAAAGCACCCGCTTTACGGTGCGAAGGGATACCAAAACGGCTTCAAACACGGAAAGAAATAAACTCAACTGTTCCGCAAAATTTAAGTTATTTCTCAGACTGATAAACAGTGGCGTGCGCTATAGCGATTTTAACACCAACGCGGTGCTACAAAAAAAAAGTTATTACCTATTACTATATAGTTTAGAAATTCAAAAAATTAGTTGAAGGTACTACGAAGTCATGTAAAATCAGGATGGAAGGAGTAGTAGAAATATACAACAGAGGATAACACAGGTCGAGTTGCATTTAAACAAAAAGAAATCAGTTGCGAACGGTTAATTTAGAAATTTGAAAAAGATTGTTAAAAGTTGTATGTCTGCAGCGCTGCGTTGTACGGGTGCAAAACATGGACGGTGGGCGATTGATGAAAATACTGTGGATAGAGAACGTTAGAAATGAAGATGTATTAGAAAGAATAGGAGAACAGAGAGCGCTCTGGAACAATTGGGTCCAGTTTGAATCTTCGTCCAGGAATATTGCTTACAGGATCCCCTTTAGACGGGTTTAACCAGTCACATGTAATAATATGGTAATATCTGTGGTTCTGATGTAAATACTATTGGAATGTCTAATTCAAGGAAGGAACTAATTAATATATTCATCCAGGTTGTTGGATTTTTGTTAAAAATCTCACCATATGATTAAATTCAAGTAGGCACCTACCCATCAACCCAAAAGTGATGCTCAACTAGTACTTAATGATATCCAAAAATGTGCTTTTATTTTAAGAATAAAAGCCCGAAAACATTTACGAAATTGATTTAGTTAAATTAATAACAACACATAAAATAATAAAAATTTAACAGGGCATGAATTATCAAACAATTAAATATAATATTTATATAGAGTATTTTTTTTTCTCCAGCACCATTCATTAGTTTAACTAATTATAAACACCATTAAGATCCCATTTAACGCAACAATACAGTTCCGCTTCAATAAATCTATTTAAATAGCCTGCCTACTTATCATAAGTCGTTATTTTATCAGCACGATTATAGAAATTAGGTTTTTAATAAAATTAAATATTATAATTTATTACTAGTGTTGAGAGTTAGTAATTTATTACTGTTTAGAAGTTTATTCATGACAGTTAAAAAGTTATAGAAACAATAGGTATACACATGCAATCAAAAATACAGAGTGTTTTGCCAACTGCGAATTAATTAATAAGGGCAACGGCGACCATAAACTGCATTCAATATGCGGCGAAGTTTACGTTTTAAAAACCATTTCACCCACCCACGTCGCAATTAAACTTACTTACGATTTAATTGTACTCAAAAAGAATCTAGTTAGTTGGCCGGTACTAAACCCTTTCAACCCCTTTTGATCATTTAAGACGGGCAAACGAGTTTTTCCCCGTCGTTTCGCGAAAAAAAATCAAGTTTACAAGAATGATAAGTCCTTTTTATCACAGCTTGTAGTACATAGCTACAAGTTGGACGTGAATTAATGAAGTTAATTTAGTTTGCAAACTACCGAGGCGCTATTTTTAATTAAACTTTTATTTTCCAGGGCCACATAGGCGAGAACCCCTTCGAAACGGCCGTGGGTTGGACGAAGAATCACTTTGGTACCGCCACTGCATCTTGGCCAAGGCACTCGAGATATAGTGTAAGTTTATTAACATTTCCTGACCTAATAAAAATATTTCGTTGCGTTTAATTTTTACAAAAAGAACGTAATTACAGGATTTACAAACTAATTCAGTTATTTGGTTATATACTAATCGTAACAAAAAGTTTTTACCCGACTCGTCTATTTGAATTATCTATGATGTATTATGGTGAAGCAAAACGGGCTGAACTTTTAGTAAACTAATATTTTATTAATTTTTGGTTCAAAACGCGCGGAACGAAAATAAATTAGGATTTACAAAACGAGTTATTAACTTGATTGTTCCAATGTACTACGGTTACTGCATAATGTCTAGCTTGTGTAAATATGCTGCCGTAAACATGATTAATTGACTCGTCCTTCGTAATCACTTTTTTTATGTAGTTTATTTTGTTGGTTTATGCAAAGTTACTCCTATCATAACTACTTTGAATTTCATTTTGTTTTAATAATAATTGGCGGAAATGTAATGCAAAAAAAACATGGCGATTGATTGATTTTCCAAAAATTCATCTAAAAATACTTCCAGAAACTAATATAAATTATTTTACCAATTATATTCCATATGTATACCGATTGGGAAAAACTTTTATATATGGCACAATCATAGAGCTTTAATATTAAGGGTAATGCCTACAAGGATAACAAGATCGATATAACTAATAGACAGCGGCTTTTCACTTTCTTTTTAATTTCACATAGTGTGATCATTATTTCTCCAGGTGGGGAACTTCAACTTTTTCATAAAAGTTTTTCGCAATTGGTATATAATTCCCTAACGCTCAGAACTTCCTTTACACATTATACTCTGAACTGGTGCTGTTCTCATTCTCATTCTTCCTAACGTTTCGCAAGCACGAGTGGTGAGCTTCTTCAAAGGTCTGTATTCAGCGGCCTGCATCCAGCATCGGGGATGGAAAAACCTTTGAAGAAGCTTGCCACTCATGCTGGCGAAACGTTAGGAAGCAAATAATACACTACGGTTTTTAGACATGAATCAGAACAATATCAATTCATCTACTGAAAGCCTTTACGAACATACTCCGAATTAACCATCTCTTACATGTAGAAATACCCATAAGGACAAGAGCGCGGCTTAAGAAAGGATTCAATTTCACATAGTTGCGATCATTATATCTCAAAATGGGGAATTTCAACATTGTCATAAAAGTTTTTCGCAATTGGTATATCATTCCATAACGCTCAGAAATTCGTTTGAACGTTATAGTCTGTTTTAAGTTTTGTTGGATTAGATCAGCGTTTCCTAAACTGTGTTCCGTGGAACCCCGGGGTTCCGTGGAGATTACTAAAGGGTTCAGACCTTTCCTTTCCTGAATTTCAAGACAAACCAATAAAAATCCACGCCCCTTGAAATTAAATAAATATAATCCTAATTAACCATCGCTTCCATTAACCAATGCAGTAGGATTTACAATTTAAATTCCATTTAATAATCTTATTTTTAAGTTATGTAAGGAACCACGAGTTATTATTTGAAACAAACAAGTAATTATCATTTTTATCAGTCCATGTAAGTAACGTTGCACTAAACCTATACACTATTGAAGTAACCTAGTGTTTCCACAATAAAAATGCAGATTAAAAAGGATTTCATCTATCAGGAAGTTTAAGAAATGTTGGATTAAGTAAAGAATTTAAAATTGGAGTAACGCAAAAGTTGCGAATCAGCAACAGGGTGTATGGATAAGTCGAGTGATGTGACGATGTTTTTTACTTTATCTTTATTATAAGCAAAACATTCGTTAAATGTCTAAAAAAAATGTTTTGAAAACGAACACGTTACGCACGTATGTATGTACTTCCAGGTGCTTCTCTTTATTTTAGTTGCTGTTTTAAACTAAATTTTCATTTGTTTATAAACAAAGTTCGGATCGGCACAGTTCTAGGCAGTACAATAAACAGGAACGCTGTGATTGATTAATTCTTAAAATATAAACAACGATAAACTACAGCGAACTGACCTTGTTTAGTGTGCACAAACTGACCACCGAAATAAAAGGTAATTTTGGTGTATTCCGATTTAAAACCAAAATAGCCTCAGATTCTTCTATTTCTTTTAATCGATATTAGAAAAACTACAAAATTGAGATCGTATATAATGATAAATACGTAAGCATAAACACGTTATGAAATGTTTATTTAGGCGAAGTTGAAATGTCTAAAAATAATGGCCATTAGTTTACATTTTTCTAAATTAAAAAATAAACGCGTGATGTTACTTCGCGTGCAGTATATAACAACCTATTTATTAATTGATATCTTAGATTTTTAATTACTAATCGTAATGACAATAAGGGATGATGCTTGTATTATATTTATGTTGGTACATTGTTAAAAAATAGTAGTTATGTATGTAATAAATGGTTTGTCGGATGGGTTAGTGAACGATTTTTAGGCTTCGTGCTTCCGACTATTTGGTTTTTCGGTTTTGTTTTTGCTGCTACAAATACGACCTTAATCTTAATCAAAATCTAATGCTGGCCGACTGGGGTCAGCAAGGGTGCAAATGGTCAAGCTTATTTCGTTACAAGAGAAAGGAGGGGCGCCCCTTCGGTCATTAGTACACTATACGTTTTTTGTTTACTTTGCCAAAGCTTTAATTGCTAGAAAATATCTGACCGGGTCTTCTCCACGCTCCTTATAAACCACTTTAAACTCCACTGACGATGATCTTACCTTCTTGTAATGGACTGCTGCAAGCGATGCAATAAACCCCTAATAATTTATTGTTTACTGGAACAAATCACGTATACGATGCTGATACAATGTTAATGAAAATACAAGAATGCGATTTTCATACGATTCCGGATATTATTTTCATACACAGAGAGAGACCGTCCCTGGTACTGTGTGACGCTGCTTCTTAAAGAAATATCAAGTAACATCTTTTCTCAGAAAGGAGCGGCTGAGTAAACATAAGAGTAAACAAATGTATAGTATACAAGCTGTACAAGAAAGATGGCTTACTTTCCTAAATTTTATTTTTGTTTCCTATGGATGTACCATGCCTGGCTCTTTAGCAGTAAAGTAACCGCAAAACTCTAAACGTTAGTAATACCCCCAAAATTTTTAAAAACCCTGCATGAAATTTCAAAATCCTACCTTCACCGATGCACTGCATCTTCGTTTCACCAAGAAACCACAATACAGAATCATTATTAATCTGAAACAAAAAAATATAACAAGATTTAGTCATGATATTGGTCTATCTAGTTCTTTAAGTACTTTTACATTATTTTGTTTAAATTAAAACGCTGCTTGTAACAAAATTATGACAACATTCTCCAAATTGTGGTGGTTTTAATAAAAATTAATAAATAATGAAGTAATAACACATACAGGTATTATTCAAATATATGCGAAGCTTTCACAGTAATTCGCGAATTATATAGTCTCTGTAATAAATAAGTACTAACCAACTAGCCTAAAATAACTAAACTAAAACTTTTGGATATTGGTACAGCACGAAAAATCCTGGATTCAAAATAATCTGAAAAAGGCATTTCTATTTGAAAAAAGTTTCTGTCAAAATAAATCATGAGATAAGGGCGTAGTGTAAATAATATAAAAATGTTATCAACATATTATTTATCCGAACATCGTACATATATATATTTATATATATTTTGATAGATGTATTTTTGGAGTTTTTATAATTGTGTGCGTGTGTTGTGTGCTTATGACGATGACGTGTAAAATAGACACATAGACTCGCAGTGTGCGAGCAAAGGCAGCATCGGCAGGCTAGTTTTCAAATTGTTCATACTAACGCGATATCTCAATAACGAACATGACGTAATAATGTAAACACCAACATCTTAGTTTATTTTAGAATTGATTAGTTACTAAAGAAACACGCGAACTTGGCGTTTGAACGTTATTTGTGAAATTCGCATTGTCCGTATTTTCCGAATGCTAATTACACAATACATGTTCTCATGCGTCTTGAAAGGCACCTTATTTTAATAGAATAATTACCGAAAAATCAAATCAAATACAGCCGCAGAGCATTTAGATCAACTTGTACAAACAACACTTGTTTCAGGACAGAATCAGAATAGCGACAGGGACGGACCACACTGAATTTATACGCACGCAACGCACAAAATATGTCATAATACATATTAATATAGGGTGTCAGCTCAAATTAAAAAGTACACCCTGACAGTTATATAAAGACATATAAACACTCTTTGTAATATAAAGCAGAGAACAAAATCGAAATGTAAAAATATGCATAAATGCTATGTACTTGTTCCTGCTTGGTTTCCTTGTATTTTCACTGCAAAATGGACCTCTATATTGGCTTAAATTTCTCCGACTTTTGGTTTTTAAAATTACATTCCCAAAAAAAAAAACTAAATGTGTAGGTAGACAACATAAAAATTTTTGGTAATTGTTTACTTTAGGGACCACACCTACGAAATTTCTTGAAAATTTAATATATTGTACACGTCCTAAACCAAACCCACTTGGTTTCATTCGTGGTTTATTTCTCGATCGAATCAAAGTAAGTGTTTTTCTTAATTTAATTTGATATTTTAAATTTTTGCCTTACAATTCATAATATTCTATGACCTCCAGGCATTAGTAGGTTCTCTACAATTCCATGTTTTCAAAGTCGATCGATACCCTGATATAACAACAACAAAATCCTAATAAAAATTGTGTAACATTATTGTGTCAGCTTAAGTGATAATCAGTAATTAAACGACCTATCGATTTATTGATTAGTTAACTGGTATAAGATATGGAATCTAAGATTTGAATTTATATGTATGTATATGAAGTTGAAACAGTTTGTGTTGTAATCAATGGGAAATAGCGAGTGCTGTTATTTCCGAAGATAATAAAAATGTACGGCGGCTCTAAAAATAAAAGTTTGCTTTGTTGTTTTGTTTCTTCAAAGATTGTGCCAAGATAAACGTCCGTATCGTTACATTAATTAAAGGAAAACTTTGTTAAAACGAGTTTTT